CAGTAGACAGTGTTGAAGAGCAGGTAGGACAGAGGGAAGGCCAGGCGTGAGTATGAGTCAATCATGTAGCTGTTGTTCACCAGCAGGTCAACATTCTCCCGCACAGACCGCTGCCGCCGCAGCCGGGTCCCCGCCGGGGGCCGCAGGTCTGAGTTCTGGCTCGGAGTGGTCAGAGGTTCAGTGGTCCGCGTGGGCGCCATCCGAGGGAAGGTGGTCAGCTCGATGTCGTTGTCATGGAAACAGCCATCGAAGGCCATGGCCTGACTGGCGTTGAAGGTGGAGGGGATCTGAAATCATAAGGGGGATTGTCAGGTATTCGTTAAGGTTAAATGAAAAAAACAAACAAACAACAAAACTGAAATATTCCCTCAATACATGATGATGACCTGAATTTATCACTGAAAATGACGGGAACACACAAATAACTGAATAATAAAATATTGGAATGTATATTAACTATTAGTAATCCATATTATGACCCCAAATATGTATATATGTATATATATATATATATATATATATATATATATATATATATATATATATATATATATATATATATATATATATATATATATATATATATATATATATATATATACATATACACTACAGTTCAAAAATTTGGGGTCACATTGAAATGTCCTTATTTTTGAAGGAAAAGCACTGTACTTTTCAATGAAGATAACTTTAAACTAGTCTTAACTTTAAAGAAATACACTCTATATATTGCTAATGTGGTAAATGACTATTCTAGCTGCAAATGTCTGGTTTTTGGTGCAATATCTACATAGGTGTATAGAGGCCCATTTCCAGCAACTATCACTCCAGTGTTCTAATGGTACAATGTGTTTGCTCATTGGCTCAGAAGGCTAATTGATGATTAGAAAACCCTTGTGCAATCATGTTCACACATCTGAAAACAGTTTAGCTCATTACAGAAGCTACAAAACTGACCTTCCTTTGAGCAGATTGAGTTTCTGGAGCATCACATTTATGGGGTCAATTAAACACTCAAAATGGCCAGAAAAAGAGAACTTTCGTCTGAAACTCAACAGTCTATTCTTGTTCTTAGAAATGAAGGCTATTCCATGCGAGAACTTGCTAAGAAATTTAAGATTTCCTACAACGGTGGGTACTACTCCCTTTGGAGGACAGCAAAAACAGGCTCTAAACAGAGTAGAAAAAGAACTGTAAGGCCGCGTTGCACAACTGAGCAAGAAGATAAGTACATCAGAGTCTCTAGTTTGAGAAACAGATGCCTCACAGGTCCCCAACTGGCATCTTCATTAAATAGTACCCGAAGTAGCCTGTTATTAATATATATATATATATATTTATATATGATAACTAACATTTATCTAATTCCTAATTCATTGCTGCAATTAACATTTTTGTTTTTTAAATGTGAGGATCATTTTACCTACAATTTTATACCATGACAGCAGGATTTAATATTGTATTAATATTTAATATTGTGTCAGACAGATTGTGATTTATCAAACCAACTTTAACACAAACACAGTGCAAAGAAATTAGAGTGCAAATGAACAAGAAATACAGTTAGCAGGATGATTACAGCATATCATGGAAAAAAAAGTTCTTTTTTTTTTTTTTTCCTGCTTGTAGGAATTCAAAATCATATAATTTTAAAATCAACTGTGATCCGTTTGGCCACAAGAGGGCGACATTATATACTATGATTTTGTTGCATTCTTGTTTATTTTATTTATTTATTATTATAATATTTTATTTTAAACAGCATTAAGAACCATTGCCCCCACCTTCCCCCTCCTCATCTTCCTCATCTCCTCCAGTGTGGTGCAGTAGTTTACGGCTGCATATTCGATCACAGACAGGAAGACAAACAGGAAGCTGGTCCACAGGTAGATGTCCACAGCTTTCACATATGACACCTGCAGTAAAAAGAAGCCACCACATTCAGTTTTATACAGAATTCTGTCAAATATTATTTAGACAAGAAATTAAAACTGTTTGGTTGTTTTGATCTTAAAGCCATGTGTTTTTTTATGCATGAAACAAATGCAGATGATCTATAGAGGCCTCCTGGATTCACTTCTAACTAAGACTCAGGAACTGACTTTAAAAAAAAACTCCTAAAAAAGGACATTTCATTGTTTTTGGTTAAATCATTAAAGTGTAAAGCTACAAGTTTTTTTCTGTGTCATTTGCATGGTGCTATCTTTTCTGCATTTTTTCAAATCTTTTTTTTGTTCCTCTAGAAACCTGCTATACGTTCAGGTGGGGTGAATCCAGACACTGGTGTAGGGAGTAAAGCTCTGAGCTACAACACAAGAAACATCCTAAAATCCATCCAGACCACTGATCTCTGTTTATTGCTGATTGCCCAAAAAAAGTGAAGCCACAGTCCGCATTACTGGTACTCCCCAGTCCCAGGGAGACGCGCAATAAAATGCCTTAATGTGTAGCATTTGGCTGCAAAAACAAGATATTTCACAGGTAGTTGCACAGTCAGTGTCAGTGTGTGCAAACATACTTGTATATATAGTTTTTTTTTTTCAAATGATCAGATTCTTGTTGTAACTAAGAGCAAAAAGCAAAATATGAACTTGATGTCGCCTGTTATTTTACCAATTGATGTCATTTTGCTGGTGTAGAAACTGAAGCTCTGTGGAGTTATTCAATTGGTTTATTAATTTAGCTCTATTGTTAATCTGTCAGAATTAAAATCTAATGCACAGACAGAATATAAAAGTATATGGTATCATGCATGCACAATTTGCAAATAGAAAAATACTATAGCATTAACATACATGCACTTGTTATTCAGTCTGTATGTAAAACCTTTATATTATATGTAAGAAGTAATTACCATAACAATGTAATAAATACATGTATATTACATGAACATAATCAGTTTAGCACTTTTGGCACATCTGTAATATTATGCTCCATTAGCACATTCATCTTATTGTGATTAATTTGTATAATATGTTATATTACATGATTTAGAGAATTAATTGACTTCATGCTGACTATGCAATGTGATGTGCCTATTTTTTATTATAAGTTAAAGTAATCTATTTATGCAATGAAACAGCCAGTGTGTGTCAAATTGATAAACGTATCTTTACTTTAAAAGTCTTAAGTCCCCCTGAAAATGAGAACATCATTGTTGTTAGATGCTGTAGCGCACGGATTGTTTACATAGTGACCGGTCTAACTAGGGAGTACCAATATGGCAGCTGGTGGCTTCACTTTAACCCCTTACTACCAACGAGCAATCAGCAATCCAGTGAATAAATAGAGCTCAGTGATTGGGACAGGGAACAGCTGTATTAGAGGAGGAGCATGTCTGTTGAGCAGGAGTCCAAAGCCAGCTGTTACCTGAGGCATGGATGAGGACACTCCTGTGATGATGGTGGACATGGTGAGGACAGTGGTTATACCTGCAGGAGGACACAGCAAACACAGCTCATCATTCAGGCCTCGGACATTTCCACAAAAGTCAGGCAGAGGGCGCTGTGGTCTGGCACAACACATGTTTGACATGTAGTATCAAAAGGAGGAGAAGGTTAATGTAAACACCGTCTTTTCTAACACCACAAACTATTTAATTGTTTATCAAATAGATCTATAATATGGCTTTTGTTGTTTTTTGGTGATTTTACATGAGATTTTCCCCTAGAATATCTGGCAACAACACAACCTTTTTAGCCAATACATTTTTTTTTTATTATTTGACAGTAAGAATGTACAATAATTAGTTTTGCTTCACGGAATTAGCCAAAAATCTAGTTTTCACCTGTTATTCCTGGACAGATTTAAAATTATCTACCTAAAAATAACCAAATATCAAAAGATTACAGGCCTGAAACACAAATATAAAAAGCAATAAAACCTATTTGTAAATACAATGAAAACAAATGGCTATATCGGTCTCCACCAAGTGACGTCAATTGTTTACCTCGGTCGCGGTACATTACGCCTTTTCCACCTAAAATGGCGTCTTAGCAACAAATGTCACGTGACTGGCGGAGACCGATTTTCCTAAATCCGCCCCTGTTTTCAGGCTTATGTTAACTGTAATGACTTATCTTGGACAGGCTGCTATGTAAACAGGCCTTTAGTCCTTCGTTTAGCTATGCTGCGGTTGTTTACACTACACCTTTTCCAACTAAAATGGCGTCTTAGCAACAAAAGTCACGTGACTGGCGGAGACCGATTAGAGATACTGGCAAAAAACAACAACAACAAAAAACAAAAAAAGAAATTATAAAGCTTATTTGCACAGCAGAGATGAGCAGCAGTAAAGTTGGTTGAGGACAGATACTTCATCTTATTAATGCTGTCATGTCTGATGTATTACGAACCAAATGCTAAAAAAATATAAAAGAATAATTGTATTAATGTAACAAACTATTGAGTCAAGTACATAACAATGTGCACACAGGGTAATAAACTACTATATTTGTTCACCTTATTTTTGATTACTTTCCAATTACCTTAGAAGACTCGGTCAAATAATATTCTTCTGTTATGGAAATTATACACACACAGCAGCAAATATTTACATACAAATTATTAGCTGCATGATGCATATTATTCCCTGACTGAATAAATAATTGTCCAATATTTACAGCATCTGTTTTAGATCAGCAAACAGTCCAAAATTCATGACAATATTTTAACCCTCTACAGATTATGATTGTCTTTGTTGGTTTAAATCAAACACTAAAAACAATAAAAGCAGGTAATTACAACAACTTACAGATAAAAAAAAAGAGTTTTTAAATCAATTATTATAATTCTTATAATTCTGAATTTTCGGGGTATGGTTAAAATCAGGATAATCCAAGAGTTACCAAGAGACACGCGGGCAGGAACGGCTCTCCTGTCGATCCAGAAGGACACCCAGGAGAGGACGACCATCAGCATGGTGGGGAAGTAGGTCTGCAGCATGAAGAAGAAGATGTGCCGCCGCAGGATGAAGTTAATGAAGAGCCGGTTGTACCAACCTGGAGACACAGAGAACGAGTTTTATTTCACCTGCTTGGTAAAAACTGGCAGCATTCCCAACAAATATGTGACAGGATCTGAGTGTCCGTTGAACGTATAGATGTTAAAGTTCATTTAAAGGAAAACCAGATTGTATCATTTAGAACAACATGCATCCACGTAAACAGTCAGAGTGTGTTCAAAAACAGCCTGAGTTAGACGTATGGATCACGAAGGACCAGAACCAGCAGCCTGTCTGGTTATTCTGCCAATGACTGAAATAGAGTCATACCCTCCTAGGATGAAATGTGCAGTGGGAAAAAATGTATTCAACTATTCACCCTAGTTAAATAAACGGAGATAATTGGATTTTACTCAGTCAGCACTTTGTTTTCTTATCTTTTCAAAGAGAGAACAGTCATACAGCCCTTGTGGCTCAGTAATCAGCCCTGTTCTGACTAGACAGAGTTTGTCTCCCTTACTTAAGTTGACTGTGAGGTTGTGTCAAAGTCATAACAAATTACACACACTTTGAAAACTTCGAGAAACAATTTGGCTTGTCGTGGGAATGAGCATTTTTTGTCTAAAACCACCCCTCATTCAGACAGCCTTGGAGGTGAAACAAACTGAGTAAAAACATTTTTTCACTGGATAAAGAGCATAACTAAATATATAAGACAAGAGAAATTTAAATTTTCCGACCTAAAATGCTTTCAAAGAGATGCTTTTTGTAGCTCCTACCAACATCAGTCTAAAGTAGTCTCTGAATTCTTGGTATTTCTGGTATGTTTTGGTAGCCTGGGTGCCATTCCGAACTTAGTCCCGCCCACAAGGTTTGAGTTCGGGGAAGTTCGGTCTGGCTCTGCTCCATAGTAGCGCGAGTATGATCGCCCACCCTCTGGCGATCCAATCAAATTGTCAGGGCGGGCTTTATACGATGATGGACAGATGATCAACAGTAACGTAATCAACCATGTCACCAAAGCGCGCTTGGGTGACAACAACAATGGCTGCCGCTGGCGAGTTGGGGTGAGTAGATTCTGCTATTAGGTCTGTTCTAGAAGATATCGACAGCAAATTAATTTTAAAAGAGGAACAGAGAAACGCGATCAAGGCTCATCTTCTTATTCTAGGCGTGCAACTGCACGCTTTGATTTTTATTGACAACAACTATGCCTCGCTTAACATACGTCACGCACTCCGTTGCTCTTATTGGTTGTAGGTCTATCCAATTGAGTGCAGAGGCCTTTTTTTCCTGGTTCGTTCGAAACACGCCCCATAATCACAGCTCTATGGAGCAGCATCAGACTCATATTCTGACTAGAATTGAGTAGGACTACGTCAGGCTAATGTTTTGGCTCACTTCCATATAGGAAGTGTCCTGCTGCAGGAAAGTATTCCCAAACCATGACAGCTCCACCTCCATGCTGCACAGCTGGTGTACAGTTGTCTTATCTTCTTTACACGCTTGTCTTTACAGGCGGCTGCAGCTTCTCTATAAAATGAGAATAAATTCTATTCTATTGGTATTCTCTTATATCTTGACTTTTGCAACAAAGAACACATTATGGGGACTTCCGGGTATGACCGCAAGGTAGAAGGTCGCGTTCGACGCTGCTCCTGACAAAAATCCTGAAAATTCCCTTTTAAAAATCACTGAACGCTACAACCAAGGTAACTGAGTTTGATTTTGGTGACATTATGCCAGGCCCTGGAAGAATGAGTAAAGATCAGTCAAAAACAACTATGCAATCCAAGCTGACGAACTTCGGACCGCAAAACGTGGAGCTTAGCTCAAACGAGGCTAGCAAAAAAGTTAGCAAGGAGCCGAGCAGCAACAAGGGCGTTGATGAAGAGCTAGCAGATAACAGCGGCGAAATAAATAACTCACTCGGCGACAAGGCAGATATACTTGGAGCAATTAGTAGCTTAAAGTCTGAGTTTTCTGGAAGATTTGATGGTGTTATGACGGCCATAGAAGCAGTGAGGAAAGAAGTGGGTAAGTGGGGAACTTTTCCCCAGCAAGGAACTTTGTCTACAAAAAGACAAAACAACGGGGTCGAAATTTTTAAAAAAATTTTAAGACCCTTTGGAAGAAACGAAAAAGCAAGGGAGGAAAAGATATCGAAAATGGAAATGAAACCCTCGCCTCAAAACCTTAAATTGTGTAATCTCCCCCGGGGCACAAAAGGGCCCGAGGGCCTGTGTTTTTAGAAAGTTTGGTTACCAAAGTTTTGGGAGATACCTGCTCTGAAAAGGGTTCCGCTGTTTCCGGGAAAAGCCCCCCCCGCGTTGGACCGAAAAAAACCCAAAGGGGGGGGGGCACCCCCCAAGAACCGTAATTGGGGAGTTTCCTTTAATTTTAAAATTCGGGGGGTTCTGAACCCAAAGAAAGAAAAATTAAAAAATATTTTTTAAAGGGGGGGAACCATCGAATTTTGGTTAAACCCAGGGTCGCAAGGGAAAAACCCCACACGCAACAATACAAATAGCCCCGCAACGCCTCCGCAAACTGGGACGAACAACGCATAAACCCTCCGCAAACTGGGGGCAACAAAACCAAGGGGAAACTTTTCAATTTAACAAAAACCAAAAGGGCCCAAAACTCGCCCGATGGGATTCAGAAGAGACAGATAAGTGAAAATGGGAGTGACAGAACAATCCCACACGGGTGGAAGGGAAAACGTTGATGCGTCTTTTGCTAAAAATACCTTTTTTTTAGAACATCACTATGTTGCTTTGGTAAAACCGGGGGTTTTGCCCCCGTTTTTATTCTTTTTGTTTTTTTTATATAATTCCCTTTATATTTCCCTAGATTAAAAATTTCTTTTAAATGATGTTCAAACCTTTCTAATACACTTTACTAGGGGCCCCCCCTTAAAATTTTTAAAAGGGATTTTAGCCTGTTGGAAATGCGGGAAAAATCAAATACAATACAAAATTTTTTTATTTTTAGTTTTTTTTGGGGGGAGTTAAGAATAGGGGAGAAAAGATCATGGGGAAATCTAAAGGGTATCAAGGTTTTGGGGAAGGAATTTAGTGGGGGGCCGGGAACCGTTTTGGTTTGGGAAAAAGGGGGTTTTGGGTTTGGGTTCGGGGTAGTTCGGGTTGTGGGTTTATTTTAAACCGGGTTCCTGTTGTTTTTGTTCCCCCCTCTTGGCCCATATTTTTTAATTACCCATCAGTGTTTTTTAAAAAAGTTGACATGAGCGGGGGACGGGGAAATTAAAATTCACACCCCGGAACTGAAAGGGGGCTTACATAAAAAAAAAAAAAATAAAACCCAAGTCATGAAAAAAACCTAAAAAGATTTAAACTCTAAAATAGTATTTTTAAAAGAAACCCATCCTTGGGGGAAAGAAAAAAAAAATTGCTAGGGGGAGGGGGGGGGTTTTATTTTTGGGCGGGCCCATTTACTTCAAAGCCATGGGGAAAATAAACCCTAATTCAAAAACCCCACCCTTTTTCCTGTGACCTTTTTTTTAAAAAAAAAATTTGGGATATCTGATCATCCGGGGCCAAACTTACAAAAACACAAATTTAGTAAAGGGCCCTAGGCCCAAATTCTGATGTTTGGTGTTTTTTTTATACAAAATTTTTCTTACCCTTTAAACCCTTTGACAGGAAAAAACTTTATGGGGGGCGACTGGCCCGGGGGTTTTGGGGACCCCTTTTTTGGACGGGGGCTTCGGAGCGGGACCAGACGAAACAGCAGAAGCGGGGAAAAACGATATGAAAATTTTAAAGAAAGAATTAAATTTACTTGAAATTTTTTGGGACTTTTAAAAACCCTTTACGAAATGGGTCTACTCATGCCATTCAAAAAAACATTTAATTTTACTCCCGCATAACTATTTTTTTGTTTTCCCAAAGGGAATTACCCCCTCAAAAAATCTGATTGTTGCTATGATGCATACTAATATGGATCCCCGCTCCTGTAATTTACTATACTTTAATAATACCCTGTTGAGAAGACCCCCCCCATGGTGCTTAAAACCCCAAAAAAAGGCTGAAAGGGGGAAAAATTTTTTAAAATACTTGGAGAAAAAAAAAGATAAATTTTCAGAAATCAAAACCACAAAAACCTCGCCGGGGTTTTAAAAAGGGGGGGGACGTTTTAAAGGCTTGTCTGGGGGTTTTACAAAATTATTACCCCCCCCCTCAAAAATCTAAAAAAAAAGTAAAGCAGACAACAATTAAATCCAAGATCAAAAACTAAGCTAAAAACTTTTAAAAAATAGCAACGAAAAAATAAAAAGAATTGCTGTTTTTAAAAAGCACAATATAAAAAAGAATCTGCAGACAGAGCGCCCTCCCGTTTTCTAAAATTTAAAACAATCATTCTATGAACAAGGAAAAAACAAGGAAAATCCCTTTGGGAAGGCAAATAAAACAAATGGAAGTGCAAAAAAAAAAATAACCTCTTCTTAAAGTAAAGGGGAAACTTTAGTAACCCCCAAACAAAATTTAAAAGAAATTTTTGACCAAAACTAAAGAAAAGGCGTATGATTTTTCCAAGACCCCCTCAAATATCCCCGGGAAAATGGAAAAATTTTTTTTAAATAAGCTAATATTCCCTCAAAGATAATTTATAGAGAACAATTGGAAGCAAAATCACAAAAGAAAAAGCGGGTAAGGCTATTGACTAAAAAAGGCCTGGGAAAAAGCTGGGCCATGGGTTCCCTATAACTTTTAAAAAAAATTTAAAAAAACAAATTTAAAAATTTTTTAATTTGAGATGTTTTTCAGGGGGCATAGTAATGGGGTTACCAAAATCTATGCAAAGGGGCTTTAATCTTGGGCTACCCAACCTGGGGGAAAACCCCGCAATAAATGGGAAAACATGAGGCCAATAAGTTTTTCTTAAAAGCTGACCCCCAAAAAACTCTGTTTAAATTTTTAGCAATACGCTTACAAAAAATCACTTCCTTCAGTGATACAACAGGGGCCCAAAAAGGTTTTATTTTGGGACGGGCAAGGGGGCCGGGGGGGGACAATGTGGGGAGGCTTCTAAAAAATT